CCTGCCTATAGCACCAGCCTTGGAGCCAAAGCACCAGCCTTTTAGTTGGGTTTTATTTTTTTTTTCTCTTTCCACCATTGGTTCAGAGGAAAATGAAATCACAGCCCTCTCCTTAATTAAACAGTCACTGGACAATATCCTCAAGTTGATGAGAAATGGTTATGCTAACAAACACTTCCTGTATGAGTTATTTGAATTGTCTGGCTTTCTGATCAACAAATACAAGAACCAGCTGCAAACAGCCAAGTGCTCCAGTTGAGCTTTCTGTTGGCCTTGGCTGAGGGACCCCCTAGGCTGCCCAGGGAGCATCAGGATGGACAATGCCGGTTCCTTAGGAGACAGGCAAGGGAATAAAGACCAAAGAAGGCGCATCTTAACTGTTTTAGAAGATGGTTTGGATAACACAGATTGATGTTTTTGCTAGTGTACAGTCATGCTACCTGCTTTTTTTTTTTTCTTTTGGTCTGCATAGGTATTTCCATAGTACAAAAGTATGACAGCTAATAATAAAGAATCGAATCTTTATACTGAATGTAGTAGTTTATGATGGTTTGTTTATCCTGACTCAGACCTTTTGTGAAAGTATTGTAGCCCTTTACTGTCAGCAACATTTCAGTAGATCCAAGGTGTCATAAATGTGGTGAGAGCTGCATTGAATTGGACTTAAGTGTTGTTTTCCCATGGGAGATTGCTTTAATGTGGAGTACCAAATTCTGCTCATAATCTTTATGCTTTTTACTTCCTAGGATGTTAAATTTCCTCTTATGTTGGATGTGTATGAGCTGTGTACGCCAGACCTTCAGGAAAAAATGGTTTCCTATCGATCAAAATTCAAAGATCTAGAAGACAAAAAAGTAAACCAGCAGCCAAAGAACGTAAGTCTTCTGGCAGTTTCATTGAGGGTTTGATGAAATAAGTTATATATCATCTGAAATTGGGGTACCAACAAGGACTAGAGAAAATGTGACAACCTTAAATATATTGTTTTCTTAATTCTTAACTAGCATTCAAACTCCTTGGCATTGAGCTTTAGATCTTTTTTAGTGTATTTTCATGAAAATGCAGTATCTGCTTTGGTATGACTGCTTAATGAGAAATGTTAAATGCTGTAGGCAAACGCGTTGCTTACGTTTTTATTTCAAAATGTATTAAAATGTAGCGCTTCAGCTTACCGTTGTGATGCTTAGGGGTTCTCTGTGAGTTACACAAAATTACTCTCTCCAGGCATTACCCAGTCTGGGTGATCCTGCTCTGGCAGGGGGGTTGGACTGGATGATCTTTCGAGGTCCCTTCCAACTCCTAAGATTCTGTGATTCTGTCACTACTGCTCGCTGGGAGGCCACTTGTTCAGTGGAATGTGGGCAGCTGTTTCCTGCTCACCACTGGAAAGGGTTGTAGAAGGGAGCACTATGTGTCCGAGTGATAAAATTCAGAATATACGTAGTAGTGAGCTAACAGTCTGCACTCTAAAAATTTAGTAAATTGCTTAATGTCTTACATATTCTAAAACTGACTCCCCTTTCTTTAATGAAGAAAAAAATATAAAGCCAAAACTGTAGTGTTTTAGCATTTGTTTTTAGTAAGCTTATCTTTTCCTGGCCTAGTTCTTGGCACTTTCATTGAAACATTTGAAGAAGGCTTGCATCTCTTTACACAGGTAGGAGCAAGGAAAGGGTGCTGTTTAAAACAGAATGCGTTGGCACTTAGTCTGGCTCTGGTATTTTCTTGTTGCCACTTGCGCCGCTGGCAAGTCCCTAAGAGGGAGAACTCTTGCAGAACTCTTTTCATGCTCCAAACCTGTAAATGTGGTGGGTAAACAGTGTAGGCAGTGCATGCTGAAATGGTTACCTATTTGCTTTAAGAAGTGGACTTGTTTAGGCTTTTAGAAATGCAGTTATAGAACTCGAAACAAGTTGAACAAAAAATGTTTAGTCTTAAAAACATCTTTAAATGAATGGAGAGTTGGCATTTGGTAGGATTGTGCTAAAGCTCTTTTCAAACCATTCCACATTAATTCAGCATATTCTGTTCTTTAGTCTAGTAAAAGTGATGGTGCACAGAAAGAAGTCAAATATGAACCATTTTCTTTTCCTGATGGTGAGTACAGGGAAGTAAACCTATTTTAAAGTAACTTTCCATCTACTCGTGTTTAAGTGGACCTGATGATAGGAATACTTTGAAAACCCTCGTTGTTTTTAATGCCTTTGAAAATTGATCTTCAGAAACTGACAGAAATTTAAGGAATGGAAAAATTCAGCAAGTCAAAATGCTGTGGAGATGTCAGAGACAGTTGTCATCCCTCTGACAACTTGACGATACACACAAGACATTCACTTTTAATGTGCAGTTGTCTCGTACACTTCCTTGGCAGTGGGTGGCAGAGCTGAAATCAAAACAAAGACTTAAATTGGGCTATTATAAAACTGCTGTGGTTTTGCCTAAAGTTGGTGGGCTTGGAGCTTGAGTACCCTAGGCATTAACTTCCATGTTGAGGACACAGTTATTTTGGAGGCCTTGTTTATCCAAAGCATTGCCATTCATTTATGTTACAAAACCAGGCAACATTCTCAGTTTTCCTGAGGTGCTTTCCTGGCTGAAAGCTGCGGCTTTTAGTTCACGGTGATTGGGAACTGTGCTGTAAGTGGGGTTTTACACAGCTACCCTATGGCAAATGTGTCTTTGGTCTGCGTGCTCTTAAAGTGCTAGAACTGTTCCTGTTAGACTCACATAACTCTTTTTTCCCCTTCTTTTTGCAGATATTGGTTCTAATAATTGTGGCTATTATGACCTGCAGGCAGTGCTAACACATCAGGGCAGATCAAGTTCCTCTGGGCATTACGTGTCTTGGGTTAAAAGGAAACAAGGTAAAAAAACCAACACCCCAGAATTACAGCACTGTTAACCGCCTTTCACAGCTCCTTTCCTTTAAGGGGCTGTTAAGCACACTTACAGTTCATGTACCTCAATTACAAATAATCCTCTTGTTTTTCTTGCAGATGAATGGATTAAATTTGATGATGACAAAGTCAGCATTGTTACACCTGAAGATATTTTGAGGCTATCTGGGGGTGGAGACTGGCATATAGCTTATGTTCTACTCTACGGGCCTCGCAGGATCGAAGTAATCGAAGATGAAGCTGAGCAGTAGTGTTCAGTTGTAGTCATTCTGCCTAGGTGTGAAATAAATGTTGATTACCGATCACTTCTTTAACCCCAGAGCTTTAGCCAGTGGATAAATAATTTGTTCAAACCTTTTCACGTGAAGAGGGATAATGTTTCAGAACTGATCTGTGTACCAATTGGTCACGACTGGACTGGACTGCCCGCTGTGGTGGTGACAATACTCAATACTTTAAGTAGCTTTAATGTCTTGCAGAAAAGAATTTTTTTTAAAATGAGCCTCTTCCTCCCCCACCCCTTCCTCTCTAATGTCATCAAGTATTTATTACACACCTATTCTCACATTTGTTAATCTTGCATGGTTTATACCACAGTTCAGTAGTAGCTGTCCATCTTTGCCTTACCTGGCGGTCCTGTTGGGAAGGCGGAAGAGAAACTGTTGCCTTGTTGCGTAACTCAGTGCTGCTGCCCATAGCCCACAGCTGTGGCTACAATCAAGTGTTTGTCCAGCCTGACCTGCTGATTCAGTCTGTTCTGTTGCTGGCATCTCATGACTTCAGAATAAATTGTGATCAACAATGTGTCTCCATTAAAGAAAGTTCATGTCTGGGTAGAGTAGTTAGTATGTGTTTGTGTTCACTTCTTGGGCCACCACTGATGAATGTCTCAATGCAGTCATGTAATAAAGCCAATTTTTTTTAAGCTGTAGGGATTTATCTATCTCCTGTCCTTTTACTCTGTAGTTAAGTAGTGTAGTAGCTGCAGACCTGGGCTTTGCTTACTTACAGTAACTTCTGTTCCTTCCCCACAGGATTACAGCAGCTCTATGCCATAAAAAAATACTTCAGTGTTGGCCACAGCCAGAAAAGCCCTAGGCCAGCAACAGCTCTCAACCTCGGTGTCGAGGAGCTGATTTTTAATGTGTCCCAGGCCCTACTGGGAGATCTAGGCCATATTCACATGAAATAAACCATCAGCTGTGTCTTCATTAACAGTACCTTTGGGGTGAATTTAACTGTGCCTTGCTTGCTCAGAAAGGGCTCTTATTGCTCCTGCTATTGCAGTACTGTCATCACTGCACAGCTTCCCCTGGGAGCAGGCCTAAGGTGCCTCCAAGAAATGTGGGGAAGAGCTGCTCACCAGGGCATGTAGCAACAGGATGAGAGGTAACAGTTTTAACCTAGAAAAGGGCAGATTCAGCTTGGATATTAGAAAAAAAAAGTAATTCAGGATGAGGGTGGTAGATCACTGGAGAGGTGCCCAGAGACGTGGTGGAGGCCACATCCCTGGAGATACTCAAGGTCAAGCTTGATGGGGCTCTCTGAGCAACTTGATCTAGTTAAAGATGTCCCTGCTCACTGCAGGGGGGTTGGACCAGATGATCTTCAAAGGTCCCTTCCAACCCAAAGCATTCTGTGATTCATTCATTCTGTGGTTCTAAGCAGCAGTTCCTACATGGGTCTACAAGCCTGCCAGCTCCAGTGCTAGTAGAGGTTGTTCTAGGTCTACCAAACTTAAGATACACCTTAGGGCTGGGTGCTTGAATCAGTGATGGGGTCCTTGCAGCCATGATCTGCACAGGAAGGTCTCAGTTCGGGCCTGTTTGAGGGCCAGAGCAGCGCTGTCACATTTTGATGGGGTCATATTTGTCAGATGATGCAGAAAATCTGTACTCCTCCATATGCTGTGCTGCTGATGGGTCAGAAAAGGAGCAAAGCTAAACTGGGGAAACAGCTCAGTGCCGAAGTCTCTTGCCTTGAACGTAAGCCCTGAGACTATGGTTCATGGCTGAAGCATCAAGAGTGCACCTTACCAGCAATGGCTTCCTTTAGTCACCTTCCCAGGTGGTTGTCCTTGTCTCCAGCTTTCCACTATGCAGATGGCAGTAGGGAACCAGGTGGGCCACGTTCATTTTCCTTCAGCTGCAGAACAGGGTTCTCACCCAGAAACTGCCAACGCTAATCCCATGGTGCAAGTGTTCTCACTCCTCCCTGGGAGCCCATGTTTCAACAGAAGAACAGCAATGCCCCTCTCCGCAGAAGAGCTGCCTCAGTTCACGTTGTGCTCAAGTCCCTCCAGTGATTAAAACTGGCGCATTTTGTACTTTCTACCAAATTGTGCCTGCTGCAGGAGGTAAGACTGAGGTTGTATGAATTCCAACCACCATCCCATATATTGGCCCCTAGCGCCTCAATAGTCAAATTCCCAATTACCATCCTAAATCCAAGGTGGGGGAGCAGGCATAAAGCTGTCAGC